CTGCAAGGAGATCCAACCAGTCCATCCTAAAGGAGATCAGTCCTGGGTGTTCATTGGAAGGACTGATGTTGAAGCTGAAACTCCAATACTTTGGCCACCTGATGCGAAGAGCTGACTCATTGGAAAAGACCCTGATGCTGGAAAGATTGAAGGCAGGAAGAGAAGGGGACGACAGAGGATGAGATGGTTGCATGGCATCACCTACTCAGTGGACTTGAGTTTGAGTAAATTCCGGGAGCTGGTGATGGACAGGGAGGCCTGGTGTGCTGCAGTCCATGGGGTCGCAAAGAGTTGGACACGACTGAGTGACTGAACCAAACTGAACTGAATCATTAAAATATTGAATATGTCCCGTTATAGTTAAACGTTTCATACTGTTGTAACTACAAGAAAGCTTTGCTCTCCTAACCCATCCCGTAGGGCCTTGTCACCAAGTCATTCTTTAACTCTTGGGTTGGGGTTGCTTCCCTCTGAGTGACACCATTATTTTTTTTTCATTTATTTTTATTAGTTGGAGGCTAATTACTTTACAATATTGTAGTGGTTTTTGTCATACATTGACATGAATTAGCCATGGAGTTACATGTATTCCCCATCCCAGTCCCCCCTCCCACCTCCCTCTCCACCCGATCCCTCTGGGTCTTCCCAGTGCACCAGGTCCAAGCACTTGTCTCATGCATCCCACCTGGGCTGGTGATCTGTTCCACCCTAGATAATATACATGTAAAAACAATTATAAATTCCCAGTGCTATGAACTCATGATGGAAGCTCTACTTACACATCCAAGCATGTATAACCCTGTGGATCTTTCTCTTCCTTTCTTTTTAGGTCTTGGTAGCACTGCTCTTCTGTCAAATGAAGTCACTTTGCAAAAGTGGAATTCTACAATAATTCTACTGAGCACCTAGGTATGAGACTTGTTGCTGCTGTGGGGAGATGACACAGAAAAATCAAAGAAATAATGAAAACATAGAAGCGACTAAAATGTTGAACAAAAGCAACTGGTTAAATGGTCGGCTATTCTTTCATTTTCAGGATGTTAGGCAGCCAATCAGTTCCAAACACACACACACACAAACAGAAAAGCTTTAAAAAGGGAAAAAATGTTTAGAATATGTGGTAACATGAGAAAACAGGTCACAAAGCATATTGTAACATGATCCAATTTAGTAAAACAAAATACTAAGTTTTTTAATGTATTTTTTTTAACTAGAATAATACACTTCAAATCGTACCAGTTTTGTAAAATAACAGGAACAATATAATCCTAAAGTTTGTTTCTAATAACCAGGATTATGGGTTAATTTTGCTGTTTTCCTTTTGCTCCCCCAAGCAGGCCTCCTCTATTGTATGTAACAAAAGAGCATATATCACTTTCATGATCAGAAGAAAAATGTATGTGTGTGTGTACGCTTGTGCATGTGTAGATAGATGATAGCTAGATGATAGACCGATATAAAATATGAACATAAATATATATATGGAGTGGCAATTCTGAATTAAGTTCAGTACAATGTAAGGTAAACCTTGAAATCCCTCATCATCAGTGCAACAGTATATAAACCAGGACAAATAAATTGTAGAAAGGACTATTCCTTTCCACTAATCAGACTCCTGTGTTTCCTATCCAGGGCACTGATTTCAGTGCCTAAGAAACACAATTCGTTATCAGCAAATGGTCTGAAAAGTACCGAATACAAATAAAGAATCTGTATGACCCTGGATGATGGCTCCTTGAAAGCAGGGCCTTTCCTGCTGGTACCCTGCTCTCTCCCCACAACTGCGCACAGTGCCTGGTATAGAACAGGCTGGTGTTCGGTCACTAAGTCACGTCCGAACTTTTGTGACCCCATGGACTATAGCCCACCAGACTCTTCTGTCCATGTGATTCTCCAGGCAAAAATACTGGAGTGGGTTGCTATTCCCTTCTCCAGGAGATCTTCCCGACCCAGGGATTAAAGCCATGTGTCACGCATTGGCAGATGGATTCTTTACTGCGGAGTCACCAGGGGAGTCCATGGAACAGGTGCTCAAGAAAAAATGTTTAAATGAAGTGCTATTTCACCTCAGCCATATGAAAGTCTGAAGAAATCTCCCTACTTGCCCACAGAGTAGACATTCAATTAGCAGATAACTAGTCAGATTCAGTGTCTGACTCTCAGATTCAATGGTTTTCTGAAAAAACAAAAAACCAAAAAAAAAAAAAAAACTGACAAACTATGTCAGGTTCTTGCCTTGATGTTCCTACAAAAGTTAATATTTTGTCAATATGTATTGACATATATATTATTTAATTTACTCCTTTCAATGATCTATGAGTCATATTCTACCCTTCCCTCCACTTTATAGGTATGGACACTGGGATGTACATGATATAATTTCCCCAGAGACACACAACTACCAAAGTGAGGCTGATATCTCATTATGGGAATGTCTGTTGCCAGAACATGTCATACAGGAGCCTCTTATAAGTCCCAAATGAAAATTTTATTTCAAAAGGTAATGATAATAAAAACTCCATCTGGTCTAAGGAATTAGCTAGTTTCTTCCTTGCTGATAATGAGAACTATGTCACTGAATGTATCTACACCTTTTTCTTTGTACATAAATATATATATGGAGTGGCAATTCTGAATTAAGTTCAGTACAATGTAAGGTAAACCTTGAAATCCCTCATCATCAGTGCAACAGTATATAAACCAGGACAAATAAATTGTAGAAAGGACTATTCCTTTCCACTAATCAGACTCCTGTGTTTCCTATCCAGGGCACTGATTTCAGTGCCTAAGAAACACCATTCGTTATCAGCAAATGGTCTGAAAAGTACCGAATACAAATAAAGAATCTGCATGACCCTGGATGATGGCTCCTTGAAAGCAGGGCCTTTCCTGCTGGTACCCTGCTCTCTCCCCACAACTGCGCACAGTGCCTGGTATAGAACAGGCTGGTGTTCGGTCACTAAGTCACGTCCGAACTTTTGTGACCCCATGGACTATAGCCCACCAGACTCTTCTGTCCATGTGATTCTCCAGGCAAAAATACTGGAGTGGGTTGCTATTCCCTTCTCCAGGAGATCTTCCCGACCCAGGGATTAAAGCCATGTGTCACGCATTGGCAGATGGATTCTTTACTGCGGAGTCACCAGGGGAGTCCATGGAACAGGTGCTCAAGAAAAAATGTTTAAATGAAGTGCTATTTCACCTCAGCCATATGAAAGTCTGAAGAAATCTCCCTACTTGCCCACAGAGTAGACATTCAATTAGCAGATAACTAGTCAGATTCAGTGTCTGACTCTCAGATTCAATGGTTTTCTGAAAAAACAAAAAACCAAAAAAAAAAAAAAAACTGACAAACTATGTCAGGTTCTTGCCTTGATGTTCCTACAAAAGTTAATATTTTGTCAATATGTATTGACATATATATTATTTAATTTACTCCTTTCAATGATCTATGAGTCATATTCTACCCTTCCCTCCACTTTATAGGTATGGACACTGGGATGTACATGATATAATTTCCCCAGAGACACACAACTACCAAAGTGAGGCTGATATCTCATTATGGGAATGTCTGTTGCCAGAACATGTCATACAGGAGCCTCTTATAAGTCCCAAATGAAAATTTTATTTCAAAAGGTAATGATAATAAAAACTCCATCTGGTCTAAGGAATTAGCTAGTTTCTTCCTTGCTGATAATGAGAACTATGTCACTGAATGTATCTACACCTTTTTCTTTGGCTTCCAGAAAGCTCAGAGACAAACGTTAACTCAATGGACTAAGACTTTGGGTTTTCTTTCCCCTAATCTTGACTTTGACTCTCTCTTTGCTGGGCCTGATTCATATTTTTTATCTACTTTATTATCTGAATTTTTGTTATAAATCATCTCAAGTCCTTCTAAGGATTTTGGAATATACAAACATAGCATCACTATGTATTGATTTTACTATATTTCCAGTCTTCGGAGAAACCACCTCACCAGAGGATCCTCTATGCTGTCTAAAAAGAAAAACCAATTCGCAATTTGTTCCGGGTCTGCATGTAGAATCTTGCATTTAAATACATTCTGCGGTTGTCTCTAAATCATATTAACTTCAAAATTGCTGCAAAGAAAATAAAACTGATAAGCTGATGCCCCAACCTCGGCATGCGGTTTGGGTTGCTTGTTTAATTTTAGACTTTACTTTTCAGTGACATCCGCTCAGACTTGAAACTTCAGTCATTTGCTGACCTTAATTCTCAAGGTATCAGATGAAGTCAGCATTACCAAAGGGAAGCCCACCTATAAAAAGAAAATTTGCATGTGCCTGCTAACGTATTGGGATAGAATTCTAAATGCTTTGGTTTGAAAAGAAATGGAAAGTTTTCTGACCCACTTTAAATCAGTGTTTCAGTAAAATGCTAGTGAAAAATCTACCTAAGGAAGAGGCTTGGTTTCCATGAGGTTAGTAGTAATTATTACTCAAAGGAGAAACTGACATGCTTATCTGGTGAGTTGGGTTGTGGATGTTCATGTAGACGCTGGGGAAACACTGATGGATTGCGGTTGTTTTAAGATGACGTGATGTGATATGTCTTCCTTCTTGTATGACTTCGTTTCCTCACATCTTCCAAATATCATCTCAATGCTTTCAGGCCAGGAAAGATGTGTAAGAGCAAATCTCATTTACCCAAATGATGAAGGCATGGTGCACTACTGGGAAGTCACCAGAGACAGAATACCTGTCAATCAAATCCCTCAGGTGGCTAAAGTCACAGTTGATCAACATTCTTTTGACTACATAGAATGAATTTGTTAAAATGTCGTGTATCAAGGCATGTGTGTGGAATCTAGAAAGATGGTACAGATGAAACTATTTGCGGGGAAGAAGAGAGATGCAGATGTAAAGAACAGATATGTGGACACAGGATGGGGTGGTGGGGATGAATCAGGAGATTGGGATTGAAATATATACACTACCATGTGTAAAATAGATAGCTAGAGGGAAACTCCTATACAGGGAGTTTCAGCTCAGCACTCTGTGGTGACCCTAGGTAGAGGGGATCGGTGGAGGGATGGGAAGGAGGTCCATGAGAGAGGGGATATATGTATACACATAGCTGATTCACTTCATTGTATAGCAGAAACTAACACAACATTATAAAGCAACTATATCCCAATGGAAAAAAAGAAAAAGACGCACAAACAGTTTTGTGATCTGACTCCATCAGATAAAAATAGTCTGGTCTGGACTAGAGCTAGGCTCTTGCAACATAAAAAATGAATAGCAAAATAAAATAAAATAAAATTTCAAAAAACGAATAGCAGAAGAAAGATAATTAGTCACTCACAGGAGCTGTTTACAGCGTATCTTCATCAACAACCCTGCAAGAGTTAGAATGACCAGTGGTGAAAAAACGGAATCCAGATGTTGGAAAAGGATTCTGCCTCTCACCTCTCAGTCCTCACCAGCCCATTAACAATGATTCATTTAGAGCTTTTCTCTATTAATCTCTCCTTCAATTTATCATGTCATATAAGGGGGGAAATTCCTCCACCAGCAATTCCAGGGGAAGTCTATGACCTACCCCTGCAGAATTCCCACCCAATGATTCATCATTCTGGATGGCCCTCAGAAACACAGCCATAGTGAATGCCTAACAGCTTTGCTCTGGAGAGGAACAATGATACTGTCAGGCTGATACTAAGATTGATCTTTCTTATTTAAAAAAACTATGGTGATTTCACATATAGTAAGTTGTGATCCTTTAAACACAACAGCTTTAACCACAGAGCTGAGCCTCTGGTTCATAATACTACTAATACTTCAAATTTAGATGATCTAGATCTTGAACAACTGGATCTAAATCTGGATCTCAGCTAAATCCCAACTGTACTGATTCTCCAAGGCCCTCCAGATGACTCTCCTGCAAACATTCCCTTCCCTCAAAACCATGTCTTCCTATTAAGTATCTGACGTTGCTTCTTGTATGCTGGCCCATTTTCAAAATCTTAGCGCCCAAATTCAAAACCCAAAAAGATTCTTGGCAGCTACTCATTATCCTCTCTATAGTAAATCAAAATCAAGAGAAAAGGAGGCTTACTGGTGATGTGAACACCATAAGACAGCATGACACCCATTTCTTTTAATAGCCATTGTCTTCAAGGTGTAATATACAGAAATCATTAATGATGACACGGGGCCTCCTCTTCTACTCAGACTATTGCTATTTTTATTTTAAAAGGCTCTAGAGTAGAAATAAAAAAGACAATAGTGATTATCTCCATGGTAACCCCACCACCTAAGCAAGAAATTATTTATTTATTTATTTATGTTTTTAATGACGGTCTTAATTTAAGGAATATATATTCTTCTATCTCCCATGTTATTCTCTACTATAAGTAGAAGGGAATGCTGTTTGATAATGTGACACAGTCAGGGAGGTTTGAAGATCATTTCCCTAAATCAAGAAACCCAGAGACACTTTTATAGGACCATCCCTTCCAAAGCATGCTTGGCTCCCAGGAAGCCAGCCTCCCAGCCACCACCTGCTCCTCCTCCCCACACCTTACCCAGATCTCAACAGCCAGGTTGCAGTTCCTGATTACTTGTGGGTACCTGTTCCCCAGCCCTCCAAGAAGCAAGACTGATAAATCTGAGGAAAATCACTAAGCAAAGTCATCACCCCTAATTTACCGCCCCTATTTGTTCTCCCACTATTTTCTTTCTGTAACAATTCAGACAATTAAAGATTACCTGGGGCAAAAACTAATTTTATCAAAAGGGAAACTGAGCCTCAAGGACATGAAGTACCCAAAGGGATGCGTAGTTAATGGCAGAGCTACAGCAAAAACCAAAGTGCTATCTCATTGGGTATTCTGGTGGTTTAGTCACTAAGTCGTGTCCGACTCCTATGATCCCATGGTCTGTAGCCTGCCAGGATGCTCTGTCTATGGGATTCTCCAGGCAAGAATACTGAAGTGGGTTGCCATTTCCTTCTCCAGAGGATCTTCCCAACCCAAGAATCGAACCTAGGTCTCCTGCATCGCAGGCAGATTCTTTACCGACTGAGCTATGAATTTCCAGTCCAGCATTTCTTCTGTCTCAGCAGGCTGGGGTATAAACTTGAGCCAGCTGTCTCTGTAGACAACTATCCTCCCCATTCTGCACACCATCTTTCTACTTCTGACTCTTTCTCCAGCTCAAGTGTGCATCTGAGAAATCCGTGCTGCTGAAGACTGAGCACAACCAGCTCCGATCACCACCTCAAAGTGATCATTTTTACACTTTTGTGAAAACTCACTTTACTTCCCATCCTTATGTTAAAGCAAGTGTTGGTACTGCAAAGGATGGCACACAGGGTGTATTTCATTGGCACGGGAGGCAGACACAGACAGGACAACTAGAATCAGCTTGTCCCCTTTGGCCAACAAGCACATTTACCTTGACCTCATCCCTACCAGACAGCAGAAGCAAGAACTCTTCCATTTAAGGATGGTCCAAAACAGATCACAACTTTACCACACTGCTTTCAAAACGATCAGGATGGAAAGTCAAAGTGTTAGCTTAGTATGGTCAGAGGGGTGCAATTGGGTCCCAAAAGGAAGAGTCAAGATTCCAAACTACCCAAACGTTCTTCATATTGTAATTCAGTCAAAATATCGAGCACTTCCTTTTTACCAGGTACTATGTACAGTGATACAAAGCCTAATAATATCTGTCTAGCAGGAAAATCAGATATGCAAACAAATGACAGGTGATACACTAGAATTATACATGGACAGCTGTGTGCCGGAGAGAAACCAGCAACACAGAAGCAATCTGTGAAGACCTAAGTTGCATAAAGCCCCACATGTGGTACCATAGAAGTTACAAAGATGAATAACATGCTGGCTTTGAAGGATGACAGTAAAATCTAAATTGAAAATAAACATATGTCTTAAACGTACTCTTCCCAGCCAAATAAAATACAGTACAAAATGAAGCAAGGACTTCCCTGGTTTTCTCATGGTTAAGACTCTGCATTCTCACTGCAGAGGGCCCAGGTTCAATCCCTGGTTGGGGAGCAAAGATCCCATAGCCATGCAGTTGTGGCCAAAAGAATAAATAAACAAGTTACTGTAGAGGTAGGTAAAATGTCGTGTTGTGGGAGCTGCTCATTCCAGCTATAGTGATCAGGAGGGAACTCCAGACCCAAAAGACACATTTGAACTGGATCTGGAAGGACAAGGAGAATTCTGATATAAACTGAGGATGAGAAAGGGCATTTCAGATACAGTACCTAATGAAAAACGTGCAGGCATTATAGATCTCCCTTGACTTAAGATGGCATTACAGGGAATTCTCTGCTGATCCAGTGGTTAGGACTCCACGCTTTCACTGAATAGAGCATGGGTTCAAGCCCTGCTTGGGGTACTAAGATCCCGCAAACTGAGAGGCGAGACCAAAAAAAAAAAAAAAAGATGGGGTTACATCCTGATAAATTGAAAACATCTTGATGTGAATGTATTTAATACACCTTAACCCACCAAGCATCATGGCTTAGCCTTGCCTCATTTAAGCGTGCCCAGAACACTTACTTTAGCCTACAGTTAGGCAAAATCACCTAACACAAAGTTCATTTTATAATATTCAATATCCCATGTAATTGACTAAATAATGTGCTAAAGGTGAAAAATACAATGGTTGTCTGGGTACAGACAGTGGTAAGTGTATCAGTTGTTCACCCTTGTGATTGCATGGCTGTCTGGGAGCTGCCACTGCCCAGCATCACAAGAGAGGACAGCACCACAAATCACCAGCCTGGGAAAAGATCAACATTCAAAATCTGAAGTACAGCTTCTAGTGAACACATATCGCTTTTGCACATTGCAAAGTTGAAAAAATTGTAAGTCGAACTATAATTCAGGGACCATCTGTAGGAGAATACTCGGGAACTCCTGAGTCCAAGTCATGGAGTATGGTGGAGGGTGAAACTGTAAAGTTTGCAGATGTTCAATACTAAGTCAAACATTTGAAAAGACCCTGATGCTTGGAAAGATTGAAGGCAGGAG